CCTCCCTGCCCCTTCACAGCCCAGCATCCCCCCATACACCCCACAGACGCACTCCCCCAAGCCCGGCCACCAGGCTGCACTGACCGGCCCTGCTGGGAGGTGACTGAGTCTGCCGGGCTGAGCCGGTAGTGCAGCCGGGGCCGGTCCCAGGGCCAGGAATTGCTCCGACCCCTCAGGAGTGGTGCGATGAGCCAGGCCAGGGCCTGCCCTGGCCAGGGTCCCTCAAGACGCACTTGCCTGGAGTAGCCCAGCCAAGCCCGCCACACTGTTTTCTCCCCCCCACCACACACACTTCTGAGACTGGCTGGGCATCTGCACCAGTCCGGGCGGTTCAGCTCCGGGGCGATAGGCGAGGCCCCACAGGTGGTGGGAAGCAGAGACTTCCCAGAGCCAGAAGTACACTGGGGTCCGGCCAGGGGGCTGAGAGGAACAGGGGGTGGGACCAGGGGGGTGGAGAGGAGCCCTCGGCCAGCCAGTGAGCAGGCCAAGAGGAACAAACGGTGGGCAGGGGGAGCCAGCGGGGTCTCGGGGTGCAGTGCAAGAGGAGTAGGCCGGGGTGCCTTCTGAGCATGGGCCCGGCTCTGTGGTGCCACAGGAGCCATTGCAAACCCGGCACTGGCAGCAAGCCAAGCTCTGTGTAATCCGTGTTGTAGCTAGCTAATACTGGCAGGGTCAATAGCTGCAGAGAGGAGTTCTTAATGTGCTACATTTATCAGGCATCTTTCATCCCAAGAGACTTTGCAGCCATATGCTATCAGGCCCCATCTGATCTCAAGTCTATGCCCCTCTGAAAGCGGTTTGAACTAAGCTGGAAAAAGACACTTATTTTGGACGAAGAACCTCCCCAGCGGATGTTGTCTAGGTAGAACTATAGCAGTACGAAGCTGCTGGTAAACTTCTTGATGTACGAGCCCTAAGTAGGTTTGATCAAAGAGATGACTTGGACCGAAGACCTCCCCGGAACTCCCATATACTGCAAGAAGCTATACTAAGTCATTGCCCAGGGGGCAGTGGGTTGTTACAGGCGCCATCATGCAGATGAAACGGATACCAAGGTGTGTTAGGGAGAAGGTGGTTAAAGTTAGGGCTGGCGGGAAAACAAGAATTCCATTTCATGACAAATTTGGCTTCGTTCTAATGCAGAACAAATGAGACCTTTCAAAACTTTTAACGGGGCAGACTGCACCCTGCAATAGCAAATAGCCCAGTGATCAGGGCTTTCGCCTGGGATGTTAGAGCCCCAGGTTCAAGTCCCTTCTCCTCCTGTTTCAGAATGATGGCTGGTGGGAAATTCTGCTGTGAGCAGGGATTAACTGGGGGGGGGGGCTCTCCCTCACCATCAGGCTATTGGCCATTCAGTCTCATTTTTGACCAGAAATTCCATCCTGGACCTGAGACCTTTTTCCATCGACACCAATCTGGTCCCATAACACATTTGTTTCAACAAATCAGCATTTTCCAGTTTAAAAAAAAACCAAAACCTTCCAGGAGAAATTCCCAACCAGCAGTAGTCAAAAGACCGATGCTCTAGACACGTTCCCTCAGGGGTAATTCAGGCTTGCCAGCTCAAATGATTTTTTTTTTATCATGTCTTGTGATATTTTTGTCCTCCTTGAAGTCCCTGCTCCTGGAGGCATGTTGTATAGGGCAATCTAGGCTTTCACCTTCAAATGAGCTTCTAACGCATGAGCTGTGAGGAAAAGCTTAAACTGTGCCCCCGCCTTCCCCCCCACACCCCGCTTAAAAACAGTAAATGAAGTCCCCAAACTTGTTTTATTTTTTTAAGTTGCTCAGGATTTTATGGGGCCTATGACGATTTTTGAATGCTTGTACTAGTAACTACATCCTGCCCTCTGTAGCTCTTTTTCTCTGAGGGGATCCGGTCATGTCTGGCCAGGAGTCAGGCAAGGACATGTGCTTGTTCTTGGAGCAATGTGGGATACATTGCAATAAAGAACAGGGAGGAAGGTGCAGATTCTCAAATCTGCTGTTCTCACCAGGTGTTTTAGTCACTTGTATCACGGCTTAGTTGCTTTAAGCAGGTCCCTGATTACAGATCAAGCACAAAAGGAAATATTTCCATGTATATATATGGTGAGTTAAAAACAATCTAGGCAAAGCTGGTCTGGCTGTGTCCGCATTAGTGATCAGCCTATGGTGCTGGGAGCAGTGGAGGAGGGAAATCTCTAAGTATAACATTAGAGAAAACCACCCATTAAAGCCTAAATGCTGACCCTTCCCATGCTGCCAGCCAATTCAGTGCACTGGATATACATACTGATAGGGAATCCTCTGCTCGTACATTTCCCTGCCTTATCAAGAGAAGCCATGAGGTGGCAGTGAGGAGGCAGGAAATAATAGAGGAGCTGTGGCAGTGTCCTAGGCTCGTCCATTTTCCCCAGATTCCAAATGGGGTTTATGAACCCTTGGGGTAGAAGAACTAAACTAGTCCTAATTATCTCTTCTTTTTTCCTTTTTAAAAGTCTCGGCTAGACTCCAAATCTGTTAGAATAACAATAAAATGGACCTACCGTATCTTTATCAAACTTCACGTGTTTTGCTACACCCAGGCGGGATGCAATAGACACATACTAGTGTCTTGTTTATGGCACGGAAGAGCTGCCCTTTTCAGCACAGTTCATATTTTTTTTTCCCAGCAAACCTCCCAATTTCCAAACTGAAGGGAGTGTGAGGTTGACTTGCTGGGGTCTCAGGGAGTTATCGCTTCTCTGGGTACTGTTAAATTAGCCCTGCCACCAGAGAACATGTCCTCAGGACTCCTAAAAATACTTCTGGACAAGCAACATCAAGTGTGCTAGGTGCTGTACAAACTTTGTAAGAGATGGCCTACTCCTGGAAAGCTTGATGAATGGCAGCTATCTTCAAATTTCCTGGAGAGCATACTCCCTAGTCGAGATCTTACCCACCCCACTGTAGTTGTGGTATTAGTACACTGGTATAGTTTTCATGGCCCAAACTCGAGTCCTTTGCAGCAAATGCACTTGGATGCTTGTTTACCAAGGGCTGCCTTTGGCTGTGGGCATTGAAAAGCAGTATTGTCATTTCCAAGGATTCCAAAATAACAAGCTAAGGCCCCCAAAATGAGATTTAAAAAAAAAAAAAGTTTAGAGTTCTCTTTATTTGCCTTTTGACTTCCAAGTCTTTAGAGGGTTCATGATTCTCAAGCTTTTCTCTACAGCCATGAGGGCTAGAAACTCCTTGCTTCACTGAGAGCTGATTCTTATGGGATCCCCTGACTCCAGGAGCTGAAGCTTTGGGGAATATTGCAGGACTTGTGAGTTCATAGGTGCTGGAACTGCAGCACCCCCTGGCTTTAAGTGGTTTCCATTATATACAGGGTTTAGTTTGGTTAAATGGCTCTCGGCACCCTCTACTATATAAATTGTTCCAGCATCCCCGTGTTTGTTTGGAGAAAGTGGCTTTATGTAACCAAGGAAAACAAAGGTATAGATCTCCCACTCATTACGCCCTCTTTGACTGGGATTTATCACAGGCCAATGGGAACTCTTCTGGGAGCCCTCATTAAGATGGGCAGCATGTTGTTTTAGTGAAACCACAGAGGCTACTCAACTTGCTCTTGTAT